TACAGTGGAAATTCATGTCCTATTCAATCTACAAAAAATTATCAACAAACTAACAAAATAACTTAAATCACCTAGAAATCATTAGCTATAATCATCTTATTACCCAATTATGAAAATAATTATGTCAGTTGTGTGAAAGATATGTCAAAAATATCGGATCATGCAGCGCACAAACATTCACTGTTTGATTTATATCAACCGACCCATTACTAAGAAAGTTCACAATTTGAAAAAATTTTTTGAAGAAATACTACAAAAAAATACTGTTCAGTTGATTTGGCTGAAATTTTGGGGAACTGTATTCATGAACATTTTGGGGGGAAACCCAAACTCTGGAGTTCACGCAAATGCAATCGTTGTCAACAGCTAATATGACAACGTACTATATTGAAATACAATGACAGAATATACAATTTGACAGAAACTAATCAAAAACTATAATTGGGCACAGTACAACTGTTAAAATCTGTTTTTTCACTAGCTGTCCCCCAATACGAAAGACAACTCGCAAAAGTCGAAACTTGTGCGAGATAAGATTAATCAACGTGTTATTCCTAACACGGGTTGGACGATATGAAGTGAAAATTGATCGTCTGGCTTTTTGGTTCAACCACTGGTCCGCACAGGGGTCGATTGAGTGAGTACCTACGTCAACCCACCATGAACATTTTTCAACGATAAAGTTGGCAGGGATCCTTCCAAAACTTTAACTAAAGTCAGAAGCCATCAAATAGCTATCACTAGACTTTGCCACGGCCATACAAGGCTCATTCATTTGACTAGAACTGGATAGTACCTACCCCAAACTTTTATCTTCCTCCCACTTTCTCCCCCTCCTTCGAAACAATAATTATTTCTTAATAATTCCCAACGTGTTCACTCATCATGAAATGACTTGACATGAATTGAAATTAGTAACAACTGTTCAAGAAGCTGATTCGCGAATCTTACTTCTTTTTTGTAGGAGTGGTTCTGATACGACCATAGATCTGCACGAGAAACGTGACTTATTCTATGACGGGTAAGTTTGGACAAGCTGGTAATCCCAACGAACCGAACGTTGACTTTGACGTGATGGAAAGGATTTTTCTAATCTTTCAAATAACCCAGCTTGGGAGGCGGTTTTGATTCGAAGATCACCCTGAGCCTGACATCATCATTGTGATGAATATTAGGCTGTTTAGGTTGAATTTCTTGTAGTGTACATAATTTGGTTAATGTACATGGAATACTGTGTGGTTTGGAGTAGTATTCTAACTACCTGATATATTTTCTGGAGACGCAACCATATCATATCTCTCAGTAATGAAGATAAATTGGTTATTCTTGACTGTCCGTGTTTCTCGATTGCGTTATCCCAAATATGGGTGACATACGATAGAAGATCCTTAATCGATCTTGATTTCCGAAAGCCATATTGCTGATGGGTCAATATTTTAAAGCCTTTCAAATATTTATTCAAATGGTATGGCTTTTTCTATGATTTTTTATATCGCTGATACTAAAGCGACGGGCCTATAGTTATTTGAAAGATTTTTCTTGCCCTTTTTGGGAATAGGCTGAACGCGGACTATCTTCCAACAAGAAGGCAAACCCCTTCCTTGGAATCTGGATTTGGACAAGAAGTTAGACTTATCACAACCTAATATGCAGCTACTATGATAAAGCTATGAGTGAACCAATTATGATTGGATGTGAAGTCCCCAGCACATATTTTTCACGTTGGCTGTCACTATTCAACTGTTATTATACATGATATCTAAATAATAAATAACATTCATATATCAGTGATAAGAGCTTTCTTGTGCTTGAAAAACTTGTGCTTCCTAAAGGTTATTTGATTTTGAGAAGAACAATTTTATAATTAATTTCTTCTTAATTATCTGCCAACATCAAACCGTCGTCGACGTATATACATAGGAATGATGTTCCTGATTTGTTCTTAAAAATGCAGTGATCTGCTTTCCTCTTCTTTTCTTGTATAGCAGTTATCCGTCTTCTTCTGCAGCTTCTTGATATGTTAACATAAGAGAATCTTCATATATTTTAAGTTTTTATTCCATTCTCAGGTCAAATTATCCTCTATATCTATTTTCATATGTTCGTTGTCATTTTCTTTTTCTCCGTTATTCAAAATGCTATCCTATATTTTAGCCGACAAAGATGACATTAAATTTAAAATATGTCAAAACATTGTAACGACCCCTGACAAAACCAGATTCCAATTATATCAGAATAGTTTGATAACGGTAAAAATAATTTTTATCGTGGATAAATGAAACTATGAAGAATAAAGCAAAAATACAACTGGAACGGTATAACAAAGGATGTGAAAATTTTATTGAAGTCTTCGAGGTATGCAAAAAACAAAAATCTGCAAGAAAAATTCTGAAAATCCGTTAGTAATTGCGGAAACACATAAAAATAACTTTTGAAAGAATAAATATAGACATTTTAGAACTTATTATTCCAATAATCAACGCCCAGTATCTGGTATCGTTAACGACACGAAGGTATTCGTTATCATGAAACAGAAAGCATGTACATATCAAATGAAAAATGGACTTCATTCAGTTGTAAAAGATATGGCAGCCGTGAAAGAAGCCATTGATCATATTCGAAACATATTAAGTAATCTCATTTACTAAGGTGAAACCAACAACTTAGGAATGAAAACTTTCAGTTTAGAGACAAGAACATATGAAAACCTGAATGATTTTAAGTAGCTGATTCAGTACAATTAAAATATCAAGAAACGCAAATAGACGCAAACGATTACAATAAAAAAAACAAAAGAGGACTTTTACAGAATAGATTCTGTATGGAAAGCTATATGGCAACCTTGTTGCCAGTGACGGCGGATATTTCAATAATTCAACTAGACTTTCTTCAATATCAAAAAAATCCAGGCATCAAGCAGATTCAAGACTTGTCTTCACCTGATTTATATACTGTTTATAGATTGAACCTCATTCCAATTATGGACAATGGAACAGGGTTATATCACAAATAAGAAATAATAGAGGTTGAAACACAAATTATAAAAAAAATTCAGTCTTGAAACTCCAAGCTAATTGTAATGCTTATATTGGAAACACAAAAGTGTATTCAAAAATTCTTTTACAAGAATTCTTTTACAAAATTGTAACTTATAAAAGCTCCACTTCGAAACCTTTGAAATTGAGCAAATTGTATGTAGACATCTCAATATTGCTCAACATGAATCAGATCAATATTTTTAGATCAATTGGATAAAATTATAAATGAACCATTCGTAAACCGACATGTTTCATGGTTCACCATTTTTACAATTGTAATTGTAATAATGGCTATATTAATGATACTTTACATATTGCAAATTGTTATAACGACATCAAGCAATGATGATCAACCACCTTTTGCATCATTTCGAAAATTACTCCCAGTCAGGGAGAAGACCTAGTATTCACCTAGAGAAACCCATTGAGGAAGAAATCGAACTTTAACTCTAATAAAACATTTGCACCGCATCAACTTTCCTGAAAACCAGTCCCTGCAAAGCTTATTGTTAAATCATTTGAAAATGGAACTTTTAACAGGTGATGATCGACTGTATTGCCAAACATGCGCCAAACCAACTGACTGTTCTAAGGAAACAAGTATAGCTGAGGCACCAGTCAATCTGATGATAACATTGATGATCTTTAAACATGACAACCTCAGACGCTTACACCAAACTCTTACGAAGGTTCGAAATAGATGAACACTTCAATCTAGCAGACCACTATTATAATATTCATGCAGTCATCGTTCACTGTGGTTCTGGCGTTGAACTTGGTCATTATTACGCCTTGGTCAAGGACGAAACGGACTGGTTTGAGTTTGACGATAATCGTGTCACGAAGTGTTCTGGCGATGTATTGAATTGATTGGAGCCTCTGAAGACAATCCTACATTTTGTTTCATGAGAGAAAGGACATTGGCAGATCAGATGATGTGGTGCTGCAGATTTTTCCGGGTTTTCCTGCAGCTGTAAAAGCAAATGCACCACTGGAATCAATGAAGTCGCCCCGGAGCGCCAATTAATTTTTATTGTTGTTTTATTAAATTAATTGTTTTGTTATATCTTAATTATATAAGATATAATATAGACATTTCCATGAAACTCCCTGGCATTGCACGGGTTCTATCGACGCACAGATTTCGTTATGTATAAGTAGTAATGAAATTTTTCCTTACCTTCCTTCACCTGATATACTATTTTATGTACTATATGATGAAAATGAAATTTACCTTTTATTACCTATAATCTTAAATATTTGATGGATTTATAAGGAAAACATCAAAATCCTCACATTTTAAGTATCTAATTTCCACTAATCATATATTTCTAATTGAAAATTGCAGAACGTCGCGCTGACACTTCTGTTGAAATCTGTTTTTCCGTAAACCAGCTGTCGCCCCCCAACGAATGACAACTCTCAAAAGTCGAAACTTATGCGAGCTATTGACTAACGAAGATTATAACGTGTGATTCATAACACTTATATCATTACTTTTTTCTCCTGAACAGATTTTGAATGGCTTACGTTGTCCCGAATCTATAAAATGAAACTGTATAAGAGTCAATGTTTTGTGACGGAGCCTGTAAACTGAAAAATATATAGGAAATTTTTGCGAGTCTAGTGATAAAACAAAAAACAACTTTCAACAAGATTCGATCAATTTGATTTTGAAAAATCTTTTCAAAACTGACCTTTATTTGACCCTGAGGGTTTCGGTAATCCTAGAATTCAAAACATATCCAATCGTAAATATTTCCGTTTTTTTATTCCGGTTTCCATTCAAGCAGAGTTGATCTTGAAATGACCTTCATAATGAGATTCACAGCCAATCCAATTGGACTATCAGATTCTTAATTGAACGTTTGTTTTTTTTTCATCACCAGACACATGAAAGTTTCAAAAAGCTTCATACGAATCGAATAATGAATTAATGAAGAATATTATTCTTACAGAGGAAAATGATACTCTTCCACCCCCTCCGCCGCCTCTCCCCACAGTCACATCTCCATCTGCACAAATAGGAATATCCAATTCACCTTCAACACATAACCGTTCCCAGTCTCGCCAATCAATTGTTTCAACAATGTCTAATGGAGACAGAATGCAAGAGGAATTGACAAGTGTCCTGACCTTAGTAAGAGAAAGGTCTAAACAGAAACACTTATTAGATATTAAACAAACACCAGAAACATATATCAATCAAAAATCAAATCCAACAGAAGTTAAAGAATGGCTAGCAATGAAAGGTTTCAATGAAATAATTCAGAATAAATTCGAGGGGGTAGCCGGACATGACTTATTCGATATGAATAAAACGGAGTTGGAGAGAGTATGCGGCCAGGAAGGAAAACGACTTTACTCTCAGCTGAATATCCAAAAATCTATCAGTGGGGTGAGTAAATCTTTTAAAACAATTCGACCACTGATGTTCAGTTGCATCAGATCTCTTTTCATTTCATGGGGATAATAACGATACAATCTTCAGTGTCGAACTACCTGTCATTCGGATGAAAAATTGCAATTCAGTTTCAATTTTACAATCCAGTTGCCCATTTATTTTTCAAATAAAATTTGCAAAACATGTTCATCAGAAAAACTTAGTCAACTATAGTTCTCATAGTAATTGTCATTCATATCTCCAAATCTATAAGATATGGTCATCAGGGGTTTAACCGAAGTTAAACTCTATTGATCGGTACGAACAGATTTTAATTAGCAGACATATATATTCATATATTCAGGGGAATTACATGAGACAAATGAATGAACAAAAAATGAATTTCAACAATATTTTCAATCTTTAAATACAAGTCAGTCTCGACATCACGACATAAAGTCGTGATGTTATGAATAAATTTGGTGCTTCGTCTTGTGATGTTATCCAGACTGGTTTTGTAGAGGCAATGAAGCAAGTGTCTCATTCCGAAACATCGGTGTCCACCATTAAGGATACAATGTTTCATGTAAGTGAAATGTTTTCTTTCTTTCAGTTACTATATTGTGCAGCAATCTAATTTCGAACTAAAAAATTGCACACATATGTTCAAATATTCTCGATTAATGGATTACAAAAATCTCTATGTAGTCTCTGAATTGACTGCCAACAGGAAATAGTATTCAATTGCAGGGAAGATTATTCTTCAAAAAAAAAAGTATTCAAAGGTTAATTACCGGAAGTGAGGGCGGAGAGGTCATTGGGATCGGTACCATTGAGACAAAAGGGTCTCGAATTAGGAAAGGGCTCGATCAGAACCCACAAAAACCCAGAATTTGATCTCCATTGAGACGAGAAATATAAGCTTTTACTCATCTGAATCCAGTTTTCCACAATCCGCCAAAATGGGGACTAGAAGGTATAATAAATTTTCATTCCATATTCCTGTTCACAGCGTTTTGCATGCAATAAATAATTTATCAAGCAGAGCCTAAACTGATCGCGCTATCACTATGAATAACAGAAACTGCCCCGTTGCAAGATAAGATATCGAAGAGCAGCTAGAAAGTTTTCTGTTGCCAACTCTAAATGCGTAGCCTCAGTGGCAAAGCAAACGAAGAGGCGTATATGAGTTTTAGAACCACGGAGTCTTCCCAATGAAATGTAGAATAGACTTCCAAAAATCTACGCCAGTGGATAAGAAAGTTGTAGTATTCTTTAAGCTGGATGGAGGTAGGATGTTGTTTTCAACAGACGAGACACCTATAGAGAACTTTGCGGATAATGCGTTTGGCAGAAAGAATCCAAAATGTTTCAAGCAATAAAAAACGCAGGTTCTGATGACCTGGATGAAGAAACTGTTCAATAGTGAGCTATATAAGAAAGTAGGAGTAGGTGACGACCGCTTACCCTTTTCTTATTGATGAATAGAGATTATCTGCGAAGTGATTTACAGAATGTTCAACAACTTGACAGACAATAGATATCGGAACAAAATTTTCACTTCTGAATATCTTTGATTATTCTGAGAAGAGCTGCATCACACTATACGCTAACTTATGTTAGGTGAGAGAATTTGTGGTCGGAGGGAGAGCAATTATTGATGAAATTATTGAATTTTAGAGAATGGGCATATCCAATACGGAAGATCCAGAGAATTTTGTTCTTCCTGTAAGCAATCGTGAATTATAGAAGTGTTGAAATAGTCAGATCCAAGATGACGTAGATTCCGATAATCAAGTAGAGCCTGCCCATCATAGAGAATTGTGGAGAAGTTGAAGAGCAATCTGCTGGATGAATATCCAGCAATTTCAAGAGACGTTTTCAATTTGTGTGACGATGTATGAATCCAAGTAAGAGTAGTAGATATCCGATCAAACAAATATTCTTTCAACGTTTATGTCACTGCCAAAAAAAAAGGAGAAAAGCCAAGCCGAAGGATAGATATAGTTTCCAGATGCGGAACACGAGATTTGGCACGAGTAATGATAAACCTTTTTCACTGGCATCCGAGAACTTTTGAATAATGCAGTTAGTTATTCTGGGATGAAACAAATAACGAGAAACGAAGATTAGACAACAAGGTAGTTCAGATTTGAGATCATCACGAGGGTTTATGATGTCCACCGATTCCTAGGATCCAAAGTTACAGAATGAGACGTTTCGTGAACAAAGTGAGAGGAGTTGAAAATCGTAAAGGATCAAAGATATGGGCTAATCTGAAAAGATGTTTTCTTTAATGCTGAAACAGAATGTATCTTGAAGTGGGTTCCATTAAAAGTCTAAAACTTTGGTGATATTATCCACATGAAGAGAATGGATGAAGAGCAATTGTCAATGTTAGATATGATAAGTTACATTTGCAATAAATATTCTTAAATGGGTTATTGTGGGAAAAACGCTATAAAATTCTTTCGTGATATTGATATCTGCCTGTACATCTGGCACATCGATGCAATAGGATTTAATCCAATTAGAAGGTCCAATTAGAAGGGTATCGTGCAGATATCAGCTGATTTTGCCGAAGCATAGAAAACCACTTTTAGTTTAGTACTTGTACTTTCAGGGCGAAGAATACAATGAAGAATGGAGTAGGAGTTGGGCATCAAGTTTGAGTATTTGGACAAAATCATAATTCTTTATTTATATAATCGTTCATGATTTCACTTTACTGTGAAAGGACCTTGAATTAATCTCCATCCAGTGATGCTAATCTTCTCAAATTTTTATGAATTAGAAAACATGGATAAGCTAAAGATACCTGAGAGAGTTTTAGAAACAGTCCGCATGAAGAATTTTTCGCAGACCTCATTTCCAGGGTTAACATAATGTGGAACCTCTTCAATTTTACAAAACCTTTTGAATGATGAATCTAAAGGAATGTCACACGTACAATGTAATGAATGATGATATTCTTGTGCTTCAGGCTGAGTCCATAACAATCCAATCGAAAATAGTACGGAGTGCAATTGGTTCATTGGGTTTTTCTGAGATTTTGAACAGTTAAGAAAAAAATATCAGCTCCCCAAATTCGAAATATGATTCCAATATTTGATATCTTTCGAACATGGAATTACATGAGAAAACAAAAATTTACTGGCCTTCACTGAGATAATATGTTTGGGAAAGTTATATGGGAATGGAAACTGGAGGTGTATAACTATTTGGAGGTTACTATTTGATTTTGTTTGACATAAATGTGACGAACCGAGTTAGTAGGTCAAATCACGAAACATGAATACTGAAGTGCCGGTTTCGGCCTTGGAAGGACATAGGGATTGAACCCCAAAATTATGGATCGCCCCCTGTCAAAGCTTGGTTTGGCAATCTTTGTCGGTAATGAGCATTGAATAGCGGTTCGGTGTATTTAAAATGTTTCTAAGTACACGCGGCAAATGTCTAACAATTATTATAGTTGCAATTTATTGAGCGGTGAATCAGGTAGTCAAAAACATGCATATTTGATTTCGAAACAGAACTCATCGAAAAGCATGTTAATAAATGAATGAAGCAAATGGTAAATAATCACGCAATATTCAGGGATACGTTCCAAAATGTACATTCACAAAGTGCTGGATGGAACAGTTGGTTGTGAAAAATTCATAGGGAAATCGATATAATGTAGTCAAAAACGAAACTTATTCCGAAGAATATCGATTTTGAAGAACAGTTTACTATTCTATCATAAGCTCACAACGTTTTCAGTGTGAAGCAGGTGAAACTAGGCTTGAAATGTATATAATTTATTTTCTTCATTGATATAAACGAAAAATTTTGTCCTAGTTTGAATATACTCGATAGGTGTGTGTTCTCTGAAAATGTCCAACAGCGGTTTCTACCGCTGATACAATGATTCGGGTGATAGGAATATAGAGTTTGTCTTTCCACAGAACCACAAATGATTGCACGGAACGAATTGGCAATATGCTTCCCAACCATACTACTGTTAACTTCATTCAAAAAGTCAAAATTTTCAATAGATAACGACTTTCATGATTGATGTTGGACAATGAGTGCGATATGGTTATATCACAATCCTCACCCAATCATTCTCAATGTTGACTTACTTCGGTGCAGGTATCGTCAATTCGCTCCCGTTCGAATTACATCTATTTAGTTATACTTTTGCGTACCAGGCACCACCAGGCGGTGACATTGGTGTAATCCTTTGCACGAATATTGTAAAGATCATGATATCGCATACTCTCAAAGCGTTATAAAGCAGATCAAATGTTGGAAAATAAAGCTTGGAAATGCGTTGAATCAAAAGACGCCAAATTTGGTTAAAAAGCTGCAGCTTTTACAACAATGAAATGGAAACGTAATGACATCTAGATATGCTTTCGACGTAATATGCCTCGAAAAATTACTAAAAATGTGTAGCCACAACCTACCAATATTAAGAAATCTACTGCTTTGGCTTTGCGAGCTGCTAAAATATCATTGAGTCAAGCTGGAGGACGTTGAAACATGCCGATACCTAGGATAATCCCATTCGAAACAAAATCTGGAGGAATCCTACCACTCATACCTATATTCGCTGCCCTTTCAGCTTTGGGTTCGTTGGCGGGTGACGCTATCGCAAAAACCGTAATAGATACTAAGAATGCCAAAAAGAAATAGATACTGAGAATGCCAAAAAGAAATTCAAAGAGGTTCAGCGACACAATGAAGCTTGCAACATTTGGGTTCCGGTTTGTACCTACGCAATACACCTCGATGATTTGGTCTCTTCCTATAAAACCACATCAACGCAAATGAAGAGGTCTACTCGAAAATTCATAAAAACTTCTCTCTAGCTTCATTATATGATTTGGAAATTTCAAAATGTGCCCGTCAATTGATAATTTCGCAATTTCGTGGAATCGTTATGCAGGCTTCCTTTGGGTAGCTCACGTTAAGAAACGGCAATGCTGTACAACATTTCGATAATTTCGGTAATCTCAAACCGAAAACGGTAGTTGGTTGGAAATTGAAAATATCGAAGACCAAACAGCCTCTGGAAAATGAAGAAACAGCCCGCCCCACTAGGGACCGAATCAGGTTTTTAGAATTCGGCAGAGCCGTACCATCTGACCTGAGAGACCACTCACCATGCAAACTAATCGGTTTCGTTAAGAATCTGGGTTTATTAGGTCGAGTGTGAATAGGTGTGAGCCACAATGAATCCTTGCGGGGTGCGGTGGAAATAGACCCACGCACTTTAGATCTGAAGACGGAAAACATAGTTTTCCATTGTTGTATGTTTGTGAAAATTTCACGGTTTTTGGTAAATATTGTGAGTTGCTTGCCCCTTCATGTTTATTCAACGCTGCACGCTATAGTAAAGTTAATTCAATCATGTAGGTTCAATGAGGATAGCAGGTTTCAGCTATCCTCATTGAACCAGAAATTTTTTGTTGTTAACTGAATATATTCTAGTTCAAAAATGAAATCATCATTTACTTGGAACAAGTAAATGATGGAACAAGATTGCGAATATTACTGGAGTTTTCCCAACCCCAAACCATTATTTCAACACCTCGATACGTGTTTCGATCATCAAGTGATCATTTTATTTTTCGATGAAAATCAATAACATCATCCATGAACATAATTATAAAATTTTCAAAATAGATTTCATTGAAGACACGGTAGTTGGGCCCATAAATTGGAGCACATTTTGACGTTCTCCAATCTATGGAGCATGCCAAAACGCATCTCAAATTAGTTGTATTGTGAAATTTGTACAGTTTTTATCAAGCATATAATTTCAATCAGCCAACAGTGTTAGTTTTCACAAAGAAGAATATTTTTTTCATTTTATTAACAGGTCCTCCTGATTCATAAAAAAATATTATAATATACAAAATAATGATTTATACATCATTTTGTACTTAATTGGTTTCTTCTTTCCTACGGAAGTTTACCACATTTTTCATTGGGTTTTCATTTGATTAGGAAACCAAATACCATATTTCAACAAAAACCGATCTATTCTAGAGATATACGTTTTTATTTATATCTACTTCAGTTTTAATTTGTATAACATAGTATTGATAATACTTCCAAAGCTTTTTTGCCTCTTCAGTAACGTTCGCGAATTTTTTAAATTGCACGTGTCTTACACACCCGAAGAAGCCATTGTATGGCGAACAACGTTTTGCGTTTTTGTAACACAGTTCAGCAAAAATCTCACAATAAACTGTTTTTTGAAAATGTTATGGATTTTCATCAAGTATCGGCCGATTCCATCATATTACTCGGTCATTTTTAGACAAATCTCTACGAAACTTTTAAAATACCTATCTTTCAACATGTTAACGCGCTTTTCACACCTAAGTTTACTTATTCTTTTTGCAGTTTTTGTCTATGGGATAAGATATTTGAGATTATAATTATAATATTATAAATTCTGCTTCGTAATACGTTTCGATAATTACTCCCTTGTGAAGAGAAATTGAATGTTGAATTCAAAATTTCAATCAATAATGACAATTTGATAATGTTCTCAGTTTTCTCGAAGACAAAAATTCTGATATGAATTTTCGATATATCAAATATGAAAAAACGACTTGTTTTGTTTCTCACTGGTTACCTAATTTGAACTTAGAGAACATTTTCAAAAGTAGTCAGTTATCTATTCATTCGAATTAAATTTTTATTTTCAGTATCAAACCGTTAGGACCACTGAACTGAAAGCTATTCTGGCCAGAGCTAGGCAAAAAATTGAGTCTTCTAGACATTCTGCATTTTGTCCAATGGCCGACACTTCACACTTGTATGGCTTGGTGAGCTATGACATCAGAGCATTTAGTCAGGACGAGAAACCGGTATGCGAAGACTTACTGCAGATAAGGTTCTATTGACACTCTGGCAGCAATATGTGCGACGTACGCGAGTACATCACAACAAAGCGCGAGTTGTGAGATATTGTCGATAGCGGTTACTCATTACTTGTATATACAAATTCAGTTAAGGCCATTTTAAAAACAAGGTGATTTTGATGGTAGTTGGAAGAGGCTGTTAGTTGACAAGAGAATAGGGTATACTGGAGAGTAAGGCATAATTGTGAGCCCCTATCAGGGCCAATAGGGATACTTTCAAACGATTCAAAGATACTTTCAAAAGATTGCAATTATAGATCATAAAAATGATATTGGGCGTCAAAATCGCATGGCATGAGAAAAAATAGGTATGTTATGACAATCAATAAAATATTTCAAATTTGAAGGTGTAGAGGTTGTGAAAAACTATATATTATAAAATAATTCAGATTCATAGAATTTGGAATCATAAAAATACCGGATGGAATCAATCACCTAATACAAGTAAAAATTGGAATATTACTTAATAATTACAGTAATATCGAGATGAGGGTGCTTGAAGATGGCGTATAATAAATACAAACAATTCTCAAATAAATTGTGTTGGAATGAAAATAGATGTGATTGAAACATATACTTATAGTCGGGTAAACATTGTCGTAACAGGTTCAGACAGAAACAGCATAGCATTTTCTGAGATTCGTTCTTTTCGAGATGTCCACATATCAGTTCAACGCGACTACATTTGCCGTTCATCGTCTAACAGTCAACCTCCAACATGGAACTCCATTTATAGTATTATGGAAACTTGTATGAACAAGAAAATGAAGAAAGTGTGGCTTTATTCGTTACATGATAATTGAATGTGTATTGCGCTATTTTGTTGGGGAAACAATGCAGAGAACAATGTGTATGAAATTGCTTTTGTTGGTGATATTTCATCAGTAACATCAACAATTGTTGAAAGTTTCTCGAAATGGTTTGGGAAAAGAATGAAGTGAGAAAATATTAAATGAATGACGTCAAAGTTCAAAGCAGATCATCAATTATCAATTAATATAGTCGATGAATGTTCTGCTACAGAACCATCATGCTGGAGAAAAAAAAGAGTTGAATTGAAAAATCACATTATTATTTGGTAAACGAAGTCGATCAATTGGGGGGATTTCCAAAATAATATGAATACTAAAAGTCAATATGATTTTTGTGAGAGTATACGAATAAAATGGGTATAGTCCAATAAAATGAGGATTTAAATTACCATGCAAAAGACAAGCCTGCATTTTTCAATATAAGTTTATTTCAGCATATATTCAAAGGATTTATAGTTAAAAAATGTTGAATTTCATTTAGGGGATAGAAAATGAATTAAAACTACCCCAAAAATCACTTTTTTGAGTATATCTCGAAAGCATAAAAATATATTGAAAAAAGGTCGAAACAAAAAATGTAGGCAATCTAATCTAATCTAATCACTTTTGACGTATTTGCAACAGAAACCGAGATATTTGCATTAATCAATTTATGCTTATAGTTCAGACGGGCTGCAGTAGAGCGGCTATATCTCTCCAGCACTACGAAATAGATTGAATGTTGTCGGTGTTTCCCAAGTGCACATATGAATGAATGCGAGTTCTATTTATTTTCGTTCCCGAAAGTGTTTGCATCCATTTCATTAGATTGTTTTTTTTTGCATTTTATTGAAGAACCTGTGAAAAATGAAAATGGAGCGTAAATTGTGCTCAATTTGTGAATTTCCTCTTGAAAGTGATTGTGACACAGTTGCAACTGTGAAAAAAAAAATGGTTTAAAGACACTAATAGATAAAAGTAAAGTGAAAAATGACCTGAAATATGAAGTGTGGGAAGGCAAGGAGTCATGTCGATTTCATGATGGTTTGTATGTTTTACTCTACAATGACAGAACCTAACAGTAACATTTCTTTATTGCAAGAAATTATTTATAAGAATATAATAAATTATTCATCTTATTCATTCTTATGTAGAAAAATTGAATAATTTGTTATACACATGTGTCACAAAAATATTATCGAAAATAAATTTGTATTCTTTAATCTGTGAAATATATACAGTGTGTAAAGGCCAAATGGAATAAATTCATTATTACGGTTATAGTACATATTAAAAAACATCCCGGAAGATGTCAAATGTAAATTATAATTTGACATTCTTCTACTTAAAAATGTGACCCCTACCTTCAACCCCCTTCGAATGATAGGTACAACTCCCAATTTTTTGATGTTATCGCTTTTAAGTTCATTGCAACAATTGAGAAAAAATAAATTGAAATCGTGTGGTTACCGAAATTCGATAAAATACACTCAGAAACTAAGTGTAATGCAAAACATAATTAAATGTAGAATACGAAAAAGAATTATGTATGGTAACGAAGCTAACCGCAAACGTCTTGGCAACATCCTAATCTCAAATAAAACTGTCTTGTAACATTATTCAACATATGACCGACCTAATCGCAAGCGTTATTCGTTCTATTGAGTCATTAAAATCTAAAGGTATAGTTTTGTACACATTGCCCTTTACATATCTCCATGAAAAAATGTAATGATGAAAGATCGGGTGATCGCGCTGGCCATTCAATCGATCCTTGCCTCCCTGCTCCATCCTGCTAAAACGATATCGTATTTACTGCATGTGTCCATTTCATTGCATGCATTTTATTTTCTTTCAAATTATTATTCTTCTATATTTTGAATGAAAATTTTCAAATCAATAAAATTTCAAATATCGGAAGAAATTGAGAATTTACTTA